AGAAGACATCTTGATATAAGGCCAGACAAGGACAGACTTTTCTCCACAACAAACACAAATCTAACAACACGTTAGATCTGTAATCAGAAGTATTTGATCAGTGATAAGATACACAACAAAGTGATATAAAAACAGTGTTTTGATTTACGAGATCAACTAAATCAATCCCTGGGGGTTCGCTGGTGTTAAGCAAGGGTTGGAAGAAAAATGCAGCAGTTAGTTGAAGTGAACTTCTCTACCAGCCCAATCATGGAGAACCATACTGTAATCAATAAAACCGTATTTTAATGGCAGCAGTTAGTTGTAGTGAACTCCTCTACCAGCCCAATCACAAAGAACCATACTGTAATCAATAAAACCAGCTTTTGCTTTAACCACACGATCAAAGGTTTCATGGGGCAGGAGCAGCTAAGGCCACACATCCCACTCTCAATACTCAGATCCTGATATAACACCTAAAAAACTTTACAGCTGCTCTCTCTGACTTTGCACACCCTTACAGTTGCTTTTGATACGTGATTTTTCCATAGATCTTGGAAACATATCACACAACTACTTGAAGACTGGGGAAAAACAGAAAAAGACTGATGTTAGGGTGACTGGCTATATTGCACCAGCAAATCTTTGAATACGTAATGGGAGAGCTGAGGACACACGGAGATGAAGAGCCTGCCCACCACCAGCACCATCCTTTGACCAACACAAAGTAACCCATCTGGGTCTGTGCCGAGAAGGAGCATTTCAAACCTGAGATTCCTCCTGACACACACCTGAGCAGCTTCTTTTGAAAATCAGTCCCATAATTTGTTAATGCAGGACATCTGCATGCTTTTTTTTAAAGGTCAGTTCTGCAAACACCTGCAAGGTTAAAAAATCAAGACCAGGTGTACTGGTGTTACCCTTGTGCGAGTGAATCCTGTTGATCTGAGTCTGTTATGTTAATGTCCTGGTGTCCTACCTAAATATAATGTAAGTATTTCTCTGAAGAGTACTTCTAGTCCAGCACTAATATCAAGTGTTAACAGAGATGCTTTCAGCCACAAACCTGAGTTTTACTTAAAAGTAGTATCCTATCATCTTTGCTAGAAAGCAAAAGTTAAACACTTACACAAAGTCAGAGTAAAAGCAATAAAATAAAAACACCCTATTAACTAAAACACATCTTTAGAGTCCCAATCAAGCACAACCAAATGATGGCAATATAGGTGGTTCATTTGATAGAAAGAATTTAAACAGCCCACCCACAGGGATAAATACATGCATTTATAAGGCAATTTAAATTTTGCTAAAAGCCAATGTTCTGTCTGTTCTCCAAGACCAATAAAACACACAGAAATGTTAGCTATATATTCCTTGCTATGCTTGAAAATTTCAGATCTCTGATGTAAAAATTGATAGCACCACTAGCCAATTCCTACCTCACCTTGGCTCCTCTCACTCATACGCACAGAAATGCCCTACATCTTACACAACCCAGAATGAGGTTTTACAGCAGATTTCTGTAGTATTTGCAGAGATAAACTTGCACCTTCACACAAAACGTCATCTTTGAAGTTCTAGATAAACCATGACACTGCTACAAATTCTTCTAAGCATATGAAAAAAAGAGACCTCCAGATTTAACTACCTTACAAAAAGTGATCTTAAAGACCTTTGTCACCAAAAAGCTAGATCAAGAAAAGTCCATGCCTCACAACAGTAAAACTTTTCTCCTCTGCACAATGGAAACCATCATTAGCTGCCACATTTCAATTAAATATCACACCTACTAGACTAATAAAAATTCAGCTTCCTAAACAAAAGCTAAAAAGATAACGTCAAGAAATATTCCATGTAAACTACTGAAATGTAAATTAACACTTTCACATTAGGAATCCCTTCACAGCCAACCACTGAAATATGGATTTTAACTCCAGCACACCACACCAGCTCCTTCACACCAAATTAATTCACTTTCTCCCAGAATTAAAGAATCCCCAAGCCTTACGCTACAGCCTCACACTCTCCAAGTTGGTACCCTCCCCAGTTAAAAATAATTAATTCCTCTTCCTTATCACCAAAGAGTTTCCACACCAGCTTTAGGGGAATCTAATGACTTTTATGAAATAGGCCTTAACAGAGTGTCAACAAGAAACAGAACGCACATGCTGTGCAAACTCTCCTCTGCTCTTACATTTACGCCGATCCGCACTGCTGCCGCCCAGTCAAGGCCAGGCTGACACTTGGGAGCTTCTGTTCTGCGAGTGTTTTTGGGAAGTCCGATCTGCCCTGATGCCACCTCTCCAGAGACCTACAGGGATTCTTGTGTTCGGAAGACCGTGAGCGGGTATTTTGGCACAGACTCGTTCAGCACCAAGTGTCTGACCTGAACAGCCCCTGCTTTTAAACATTAGCACAAAGGGTTTCACGAGGAGTTCCTCCTGGAGGTAGACTGAGTCCAGACAAGTCCAGGCACGTTGCTGGCCATACTATCGCATACAACACCGAAGAGCTGCAGGCAACACCTGGAACTTCACTTCACCACAAAAATCACCCCTAACAGCCCACCGAGCCCCCTCCCTCCAACCTGCGGTGCTGGATGTGCTTCAGTGTGCAGGCAGGCGGGCTTCTGCATTGCATAACATCTGGAGGGGGGAAGGGAGCGGGGAGAGTTAAGCATGCTATTTAATGGAGGGTGGATTTCTATCCTAGATGCAATGGCAGCAAAATGCCCTCCCAACCAGGCTGCCTGGGTTTGCCTCCCGAGGAAGAAACGTTGCGGTGCCAAAACATCTTTTGGAGAAGTTCACTTTTGGTTGGAGGCCAAAAGCAAAGGCTCAGCCTCTCACTGGAAAGCCTCACAACTTCTAATGAAAAACAAAGAAAGAAATAGTAAGGAAGGACAACGTGCGCTGCCGGTAAAAAAACGTACAGCCAGCACTCCCAGGAAGGGCACACGTGGATAGGGAAGACGTTGGAATAGTCCACAAACAGAACTCGGCGCATAATTACAAAGAGGCAGAACTCTAGGAAAGTGTTTAATAAATAACAGGGAAAAAGACAACTCAAAGGGTTTAACCTGTATTTCTTGCAGATCAAGGAACACTCTCCAAAACCCGGGCTGCGTGTGTTCTACCTGAAGCATTTTTGCAATACTGTTAATAAAACCAACCGGCAGGTTCTTCGCACTGTCCCACGCCTCCCAGAGCTCCGAAAGCACACCGAGTGATCCCAGGTAAACCGCAGAAGTGGGCAGACTTTTAAAGGCTATTTACAGGTATCAACATCGCTCCACAACCAATCACTGATTTTTTTTCCCCTAATGGGCTGAACAAGCTATTTTAAAATAATTCCTCTATTTCAGCAGAACTGCAAATTCACTTGAAATATGTGAAATACAATTATTAACAATAATATTGGAAATATCCTTTCAAAACACATTACACCTTGCATTATTTACTACTCAGTATGTGAAAGGGAGACAACAGGGAAGTAACCTCAGGTCTGGACACTACATAATGATCACCAAAGAGCAGCGTGCCACACTTGTGGGGAAAAAAGTTCTAGCGAAAATTATTGATGTCTGTTAATTAACCCATGCGTGGACGCCGCTGAAAAGAACCCAGTCTAGCCAGCGAGTGCAC